TGCTGTACTCATGAACTGCAGAGATTGATCTCTAGCGTTTCCAAAAACAAAGAGAATCTTCACATTGAATTGGAGAAGTACACATGCTGATTCTGACTGATTCCTTTGAGTAAGAAGGATGCAATCCTCCTGTGTAGGGTTTTCAATTCTGTGAGACAGAATCTTACTATATTCTTCTCAGTGTCCCTCAGTGTGACTTGCTAAATAGTCATTGGTCTGCAGCCTCAGTTAGACCATGGCCATCTCTGACCATTGACTTCCTCTCTGAGATGCAGACATGATAGTAGTAATTATTTCCGCCTACTTTTTAGCAATAACCAAGAATAAATCGAATACATTGAATTATTTCAATATTTGTGACTTCATCCATTGACACCTCCATAATTGACTCCTCCACAACCCCAAACTGTCAGTATGATGCATTTTTGTAAGAGGAGGTGTGGGCGATGTTTTCTCGTCACCCTTTGGTTTGCAAGCACTTCTGTTAGGAGTCCCTACCTAGAGCTACCAGATAATTCTGGAATGTGCTGGCACAATGGGGCATTGTGGAAATGCAGGGAGGAAGAGGAAAGAGGTAGTCTCTGAGCCAAGCTCTGGTAGGAACCTGGCAAAGTAGACTAGCTGTCTTTTGGTGACCTCCTTCTTCTCTTCCTCACCCCTCAGAAGTGTTTCTCTTAATCCAAATTACGTGTTTGCTCATGCCTCCAGGTTTTTAATTTTGAGTCTACTGTTGACATTGATAAGTGCCTCCATTTCTGATAGTAGCAGCCTCTGCTGGAAGGAATCACGGGATTTGATCTCTTGTTCCCCTCTTGTTCTAGGCAGGTGTTCACGTACACGTACACGTACACGACTTCATGAACAAGCTGCATTTTGTTCTGTATCAGTCATTCATTTGAAGTATATTTATATGATTTCTACATTTCTAAATAAATTGGCTCCTTTCAGTCCTAACATTGGGCTATTCTTTTTTTTTCATTTTTTTTGAGTTGGAGTCTTACTCTGTTGCCCAGATTGGAGTGCAGTGGCTGCTCCCGGCCACCGCAGCCTCGACCTGCTGGGCTCCAGTGATCCTTCCGCCTCAGCCTTCCAAGTAGCTGGAACTACAGGCACACGCTACCACGCCTGGCTAATTTTTGATTTATTGTAGAGATGAGGTCTCGCCAAGTTGCCCAGGTGGGTCTCGAACCCGCGGGCTCAGGCAATCCACTCACCTCAGCCTCCCAAACCGCGGGATTACAGGCTGAGCCACCGAGCCCGACTTGATTGTGCTATTCTATAAGTCCTGATCATTGCTTCCCGATTTCAGGAACTGTCACTCATTATATGTGCTGTGACATCTTTTCTATAATAGACTCTCCAATTGATCATGTTTGTTTCTCACTGGCTTCTTCTACTCCTTGGTTATTTTCACAGCCACTGTGGCCATTATAAGCCAACTTTTAGCCACTCACATGAATCCACTGGTTATACAAGTCTAAACATCCTTAAGGTCTCAAAGACTTAGGGGAAACTTTTCTTTTCTTTTGAGTTGAGGTCTCACTCTATTGCCCAGGCTGGAGTGCAATGACATACTCATGGCTCATCACAGCCTTGGCCTCTTGGGCTCAGGTGATCCTTCTGCCTTAGTCTCCTGAGTAGCCAGAATTACAGGTGTGTGCCATCAAGCCCAGCTAATTTTTTGATTTTTTTTTTGTTGAAATAGGGTCTTGCTAAGACGCCCAGGCTGGTCTTGAACTCCTGAGCTCAAGCAATTCTCCCTCTTCACCCTCCCAAAGTGCTGGCATCACAGGCATGAGTCACTAGGTCCAGCCAAACAGATGCTATCATTTTCATTGGCTTCTGTTAAGCTAACCTCTGACCGGAGCAGGTAATCTCCTTTCAGAAGAGTCCTTGCTTCTCTCCTAGGCTAACTTTATTGACTTAAGTGTTTTAAGCATCATGTTTGAGATTCCTCTCCTCAAAATGCATACAGCATTTCTCCTTCTGTTATTCAACCACCATGGCTTTGCTCATATTGTCCTCTCTTCCTGGAATATGTTCACTTCTCTCATCTGTCTAACAAACCACAGCTGTTCCCAAAGATACCACTCAGGTTCCCACTTTCTTCTCAGCTGCATTTCCTAATTTCAGTCCAGGTTTGGTCACAGTCTGAGCAGGTCAACTGGCTTACTTGTAGGACCCCATGGTGCTCGAAGAGGAACTGAGATTATAGCTGCTTTTATTGGCGTTCCAGGGCATAGAACTGAGGTAAGATGATAGCAACTACTGACCTGGAAATTTCCTGTACATTCAGGGAAGGCTCAGCTTGCTGAGACTGGTAAGGACTCCCACCCCCAAGACCCATTCCTAGATGAAATTAGTCTCGAGTCTGAATGCCTTGTAGCTTCTTCTGAGTTGTTAGAGTTGGAGGACCGGTGGGGGCCTACCATGAAGGACTTCTCTTTTGCCAGTCTTCTTGTGACCTTGCCTTGAGAGATCTGGAATATCACTTTCATTGCATCTTAACAGCCAGGCACGTCCCTAAGACCTGTCCTCATCTCATGGGAGGAAAATTAATCTTCACCACTCATTGCAAAGAGTTGAAAAGAATTTGAGTCCTTCTTTAACTAAGACATCTATTCTTGATACTCTTAAGCATGTCCTGGAATTGGGTCATATAATTATATAACTACATGTATGGATTGTCTTTTTTTTTGATTCACATCATGTTGCTTTTATTGAATTGTGACTTGGGTCTGTGCCACTAATAAAAAGCTCCTATATACCATTCTTCACATTCAATAAGATAGTTATAAAGAGCTTTGAGCTATTGCCCAGTCACTGCTCAATGGCAGTTCGTTAGAAAAAAAAATTCTTTGTGGTCTTGGTACCTACAGGTCTAACATAGTCATTACTTTTTCACATTTAAAAAATCAAGTCATGTAGCTTCATGATTCATCATTTCTTTTTTGCCTTTACTGTCAGAAAGCCTTCCTCAGTTTTCCCTTGTTCTAATTTTTATGCATTTATTATTATTTTGTTTTGTATGTTTGGCTTTGTTAATGTTTGGCATAGAATGCAGGAGGATAAAAGCAAATAAATTAGATGTAAATGGATCTAGAACACATAAAAATGCAAGTATAAAGTGCTAGTGTCGCCGGGCTCGGTGGTTCAGCCTATAATCCCGCGCCTTTGGGAGGCTGAGGTGAGTGAATTGCCTGAGTCCATGGGTTCGAGACCCACCTGGGCAACTTGGCGAGACCTCATCTCTACAATAAATCAAAAATCAGCCAGGCGTGGTAGCGCGCCTGTAGTTCCAGCTACTTGGAAGGCTGAGGCGGAAGGATTGCCGGAGCCCAGCAGGTTGAGGCTGCGGTGGCCGGGAGTGGCCACTGCACTCCAGTCTGGGTGACAGAGTGAGACTCCAACTCAAAAAAAAAAAAAGAAAAAAGTGCTAGTGTCACGGCTCCATTCTACTAGAGGAGGTGAACAGTATAGATTGTAGTGCTAATCTCAGTTACCTCGGTTACCAGATAGAACACCTTTGTCAAGTTGTCCCGACCTCTCTAGTAACCAAATTCTTAAATGAAAAGGGGAATCATAAAAGTGATTACATCATGGGTTGTCTGAATGTTAAACAAGATGGTGTGCCCAAATTCTCTTAGTGTAGTGCCTGCATCTTGGAAGCCTTCTACAAATGGTAGCTGCAACAATTCCCTTGAAAATTCAATGTTTTGTCATCTTTCACTCTGATTGTATTTATTCCTGTGTTCTCAACTGGAATATATTCTTTTTTCAGATAAGAGTTTATGCTGTTTTTGTACCTATGGAACCTAATACAGAGTCTTATACATCCATGATAGATGTGACTTGTACTAGTTCCCAGTCAATGGTGGGAAAGCTTCCTATAGAAGAAAACTTGATCCACAGGGGAAAAAACATTGTCTAAGATCACAGAAGGAAGATAACAATCCACTTCATTCTTAGAATTTTTAAAAAAGTCATAACATTTATGGGTGTGTGAATCAATGAAGAACACACACACACACACACACATATGTGTGTGTGTGTGTATGTATATATATATATATATTTTTTTTTTGAGTTGGAGACTCACTCTGTCACCCAGATTGGAGTGTAGTGGCCACTCCCGGTCACTGCAGCCTCAACCTGCTGGCCTCTGGTGATTCTTCCGCTTCAGACTTCCAAGTAGCTGGAACTATAGGCGTGCACTACCACGTCTGGCAATTTAAAAAAAAATTTATTGTAGAGATGAGGTTTCGCCTAGTTGCCCAGGTGGGTCTTGAACCCGTGGGTGCAGGCAATCCACTCACCTCAGCCTCCCAAAGTGCTGGGATTACAGACTGAGCCACCGAGCCTGGTTGAAGAACATATATTTAATATATATGTTCAAAATAAGATTCTGCTTCAGTTTCATCTTATGTTTACTTAGGAGTAATTGAAGAGGGAGAAAAAAGCTTGAAAATAGATACATGGGAAAAAATAGAAGAAATATAGAAAAAGAAGAAGGGGAAAGAATCAGGAAATTAGAGATTACATAATTCAACAAATATTCATGGGATATCAAATTTGTTTAAACAAGTCTCAAAAACATCCAACCTCTTACACTTTTAGAATTGACTTTATTTGTAGATGTGGGATTTTAGGTACTGTAACCACACAGGAGGTGAGATGTTTTGGGACAGAGTTTTTTGGGGCTCTCAAACTTCTTGAAATTAGCTACAGCTTAGTTATTAATTCCTTAAGTAAAAGATCCTCTGAGCACACAATGCACTTGTCAAATGTTCTTTAATTCATTAATTAAATTTTGAGACAGGATCTCAGTCTGTCGCCCAGGTTGGAATGCAGTGGTGTGATCAATGCTCACTGTAGCCTCCACCTCCTGCACTCAAGCAATTCTCCTGCCTCAGGCTTCTGACTTGCTGGAACTACAGGTGTGTGCCACCATGCTGGCCCCAGTGTCCTTTAGTTATCAGAAATCACATCTCAGATCTTCATCATCTGCAGAGGCTCCAGATCCTTGCCAGGAGCATTCTAAGTGCTCGCTTCACGTCTTTGTTCCTCAGGGTATAGATGAAGGGGTTGGAGGTGGGGGTGATTATGGAATAGAAGAGAGAGATAAACTTGCCCTGCTCCTGTGAGTAGTGGGATGGGGGCTGCAGGTACATGTAGATGGCAGGCAGGTAGAAGAGAGAGACCACCACCAGGTGAGAGGAGCAGGTCCCAAAAGCCTTGCGCCGCCCCTTGGAGGACCGAATCCTGAGTACAGCACGGGCGATAAAGCCATAGGAGAGAAGGATGAGAGCCAGAGGAACCAGAACGAAGAAGGCTACCAGCACAGCCAGTGTGGCATCATTCACCGCCGTGTCAGCACACGATAGCTTGATCATCGCGGGCACTTCACAGAAAAAGTTGTTCAGCACTCGCTGCCCGCAGAAAGGCAGCTGCACTGTCAGGACCACCTGAACCAGGGAATTGCCAAAGCCACTGAGCCAGGCCACCGCCACCAGCTGCTGACAGAGAGCATGGTGCATGATAATGGCATAGCGCAGGGGCTCACAGATGGCCACGTAGCGATCCAGGGCCATAGCAGCCAGGACGATGCACTCCGTGCACCCCAGCCAGTGGAATATGGCATACTGCACGGTGCAGCCACCATAGCTGATGGTCTTCTTGGACGTGCCCATGTTGACCAGCATCTGGGGGACTGTGGTGGTGGTGTAGCACAGGTCCAGGAAGGACAGGTGGCTGAGGAAGGTGTACATGGGGCTGTGGAGCTGCGGGTCCAGCCGGGACACCAGGATGATGGCCACGTTTCCTAGCACGGCCAGCACATAGGACACCAGGAGGACTGTGAAGAGGGGGAGCTCCAGCCATGGCCTGTCAGAAACGCCCAGGAGGATGAAGTTTTTAGGGGGATCTCCTGTGAAGCTCCAGTTGTCACTTTTCATGTTTTGGCATTTTCTGGCACCTGTAACAAATTGAGGGCTTTGGAACGGGTAACAACCAAGAGGAGGCATTACCTGATTTCCTCGTTTCCGCATTCTCTCAGTCTTACACAGATGATGCCCTGTCTGGTCTTTCTTATCTCGTAGCGATGCCCATACGTGAATAGGTCAGAACAGAGGCATGGATGTCTTTGCTCTCCCTCTGGCTTAGCAACCTGAACTAAGTCACTTAGCTTTTCTGGACTTCAAGTTCTACATATGTAAAATGGGGAGAAAATGACAGTTTCAACCACAGAGACTTGGGGATGATGTAGGGACATAAACGCATACCTCACGAATGACAGTTTTGTTCCAAACACAAAACAGAGAATTGTCCACTTTCCTGGGTGTTCTCAGGTTTGGAGGTGGTGGTGGGAGGTGGAGGTGACATGAAACAAGCACAAAACTCCTTGGGCAGCTGGAGCTATCATGCCCCACTCAACTCCTAAGGTTTGTCTCAGCTCCACCAGTGTGGAGGGTTCCCAGCTGCCTGGACCACGTGACCTCTCCTCTCACGGCTGCTCACACACAGGGGCTCTGTCACTCTGGCAGGAAAACCAGCATGATTTCAGACTCTCTGAGCCCCTGGAAGAAGGGGGAAAGTCAAAGTTTACTTCAGTCCCTGAACTGGTCATGGCATGTGGCGAGAGCCCAGAGAACAGAAGTTTAAGCACAGGGAGGGAACTCTCAGTCAGCATAAGAAGCCTAGCCTCTGGAGCTGTCTCCTGGCAGATCAGGCTGTCTCAGAGCAAACTTGTATCTGATCCATTGAGTGATAGCTGAATTTCCTGTGCAACTTCTTTGCTAAGCAGCTATTACCTCTTGGTGGTATAAATACAGCCCACTTAATTTCCAGATGCCACTGCTGTTAGGAAGCACCTGGCTTGGCCCTGCTGGTTCACGGGGCCATAGAGTACCCCCGCCCCCAACTTCTGTCCTCCCAGACTCTCCCAAGTGTTATGAGGATAGTACGCTTCATGATGGTATTGAAAGGACATCAAATCCTGCAAGCAGATACTTCATGAAGGATTTGTTTTTTTATTCTTGATTTGTGCCTTATGCATAGACTGTAAAATTAATAGAGACCTGTTCAGCTTAGATGTTACAACAAGTGCGCCCAACTCCAGTTGATATCCTAAAGAATTCTGCTGTTCTTTGTAAATGACTCAAACCCAGAGTGTAAATGGGTAAATAAATGCAAATTTCCTTTCCTTCTTCTGTCTTTTCAAAATGATATGTTATTTTCTATAAAGTTCTCAATGTGCTTGTAAGACACTCAGTTATTGCACACCCTCCCATGATTCTCTCAATAATACTTGCGGGATAAACTCCATAGAATATGATTTTATATTTGATGAGCTTAGGACCCAGTTTTGGCACAGTGAGCCGTGGCAGGGCAAAGTCAGGTTAGCATCAGGGACTGGTTTTTGTGGGAGACAATTTTTCCATGGACCAGTGGGGGGGGATGTTTTCGAGATCATTCAAGCACCTAACATTTAATGTGTGCTTTATTTGTATTATTATTTTATTGTAATATATGATGCAATAACTATACAACTCACCATCAAAAAAAGAGATGTGGAGGGAATAATGGGTGGGCCACACGCAGACTAAACTGTGTTGGATTCTCACCTAAAGCCTGCCACCAGATGCAGCTGTACAACTGAAGTACTTGCGGCTCACCAATAGGGTTTTGATATGAGTCTGCAAGCAGTTGATTTATTATGGTTTCTGTGTAGCCAAACCTCATTCCTAATGTTAATCTGTATCTGCAGCTACTTCCTAGTGCTAGCATTACTGCCTCAGCTCCACCTCAGATCATCCGTCATTAGATTCTCGTAAGGACATGTAATCTAGATCCCTCACATGTGCAGTTCACAATAGAGCTCAAGCTCCTATGAGAATCTAATGCCATTACTGATCCGACAGTAGGCAGAGCTCAGGCAGTAATACAAGTGATTGGGAGTATCTGTAAATACAGATAAAGCTTATCTAACACACCACTGGCATTCACACAAAGTCATCTTCTAAGACTCAGGTCTTAAGAGCAAAGATATCTTTAATGCTTCAATGACCTAAAAGATAAGACCCCATCTCTCTCTTTTTTTTTGAGTCGAAGTCTCACTCTGTTGCCCAGGCTGGAGTGCAGTGGCACGCTCATGGCCACTACAGCCTCGACTTGCTGGGCTCAGGTGATTCTTCTGCCTCAGACTTCCAAGTAACTGGAACTACAGGCACATACCACCTTGCCTGGCTAATTTTTTGATGTATTGTAGAGAAGAGGTCTTGCCAAGTTGCCCAGGCTGGTCTCAAACCCCTGGGCTCAGGCAATCCTTTCGCTTCTGTCTCCCAGAGTGCTGGGATTACAGGTGTGAGCCAACACACTTGGTCAAGACCCCATCTCTTTAATAGTTACCTTTTGAGGGTGGGAATTGTATCCCCTCACACTAAATTCCCTGTTTCTTCTGAGAATGGTCACACCCTCTCCCTCGGCAGCTCCCATAGTATTCTAACAATAATACTTAGCCTGTGCTCACTGGCAGGTCAGGCTATGGCCATGTTGAGATGTCCTCATGATATAGACTATTTGTTTTATAGGAGGGAAAATCAAATTCTCAGCAATACATGGAATTTCCAGAAAGCAGCTTGTGAGATGGGAGCTTGGCTATGGGGTCTTATTACTTATTGACCTAAAGGATCTCTTTCCTCAATCTAAAATTCAGCTCAAATTCTTACAACATGGGTAACCAGGTGGAGCCCCGATTTAACTGCCAAGGCCATAACCAGGATCATACTACAAAAGGTTGTGTCTGGGCCTAAGGCATCAAGGGGGTTCCTTAACTGGTATTAACAGAGGCTCTTTTTTTCACAGAAAGAGGAAAGGGTGTTTAGCATTTCCAGCCCCAGCTATATAGCACGTTCCCTCTTAGACAGAAACTCTGATAAGAGTGGTATCATGAAGTTTCGAGCACAAGGAGAAGGGTCAGCCTCTCCAGCCTTACTCTGTAAAGTCTCACCCTGTAGCCTCTGCCACATAGTCCGTGCCCCCATACAGGCCTGCTTGTCCTGTGCCAGGCCTTGGGAGGAGCACATGCTCCTGCTGGGAATACGGTTTCTTATGCCCTCTCTTCCCATCCTTCCTCTGATTTCATTCTAGCCTGTTTCCACTCCCTAGTTCCTCTCTATTGACCATTCTGTAAGTCCCACAGCCCAAGGGGGTAATATCCCTGTCCCCACAAAGGCATTGGGGTATACTTTTTCATAACACTTTAATCGTAAAATACATTCCTAACAAACTCTGAGAGGAGAAGGGAAGTAAACCAGCACTGAACAAAGCACCTGCCCTCTCTCAGTCTGTGTAGCAGGCTCTGTGTGTGCTGTCTCACATCCTAGTTCCAGACCTCTAGGAGAACCAAGAAGTTCACAAAGGTCTAGTATGTTCACCCTGTTCAGGTCAGAGTTGGGGAAGGAACCCATGGCACAAACTCTTTACACTCCCAGTGCTGGTTCACAGGAGGGGACGTTACCTCGTTACCTCCTCACAAGCCCCCAGATGTTATAATCCTTGACTCTCAAAAGCATCAAACAGTCTCCTATTTACAAGTATGGCTTTGTTAAATGGCCATAAAGCTGAAAAATATTTAAAACAAGGCTCATGGAAAGTTTAATAATGTGCCATGGCTGAGGTGAGTGGATTGCCTGAGCCTGCGGGTTCAAGACCCGCCTGGGCAACTTGGCGAGACCTCATCTCTACAATAAATCAAAAAATTAGCTGGGCGTGGTAGCGCGTGCCTGTAGTTCCAGCTACTTGGAAGGCTGAGGTGGAAGGATCGCCGGAGTCCAGCAGGTCGAGGCTGCGGTGGCCGGGAGCGGCCACTGCACTCCAGTCAGTCTGGGCGACAGAGTGAGACTCCAACTCAAAAAAAAAAAAAAAAAAAAAAAAAGTGCCATATTGTTTGCTGTTCATTTCCAACGTATTAATCTTTCACTTTTTGTGGAGAGTGTAATTTCTTTAAAAAAAGAGAATCAAATAAAAACAACAACAACAACAAAACAACAAAACCCAGGGACATGCCTGACAGCATGAGGGATGCAATTAATTCATGACGGGGTTTTTGTTAGCAAACTGAAGGCCTCACCCCTCCATACTCCATGGGATGCAGAGACCTCAGCCTCACTGGTTATTCATTCTTGTGGTGCGAGAGGGATAGGAAAAGAGAGAGGCTGGATCCAGCTGCCATGGGCCCTTGGAAGGAAGACACCCTGCATACTCCTTGCTGTGGCAAGCCGAGCTGGCCTCCTATACGTGCCTCTGCCCCTGCTCCACCCCTTTTCATGGGGTCAGAATATTTCGGCTTGCTGCTAAAATTCAGCTTGAAGCCTGCCTTATCTGGAGCCAGGACTGTTTGCTTTACTGGCTCTATTTCTCCCTTTCCACAGTCATGTTCAGTTCCATATTGCTCTTGTGACTGTGACTCAGAATCATCAACAACATGGTGAAGCAAGGAGAAGGGACTCAGGCCCCCCCCCATACACAGACCAGTGTTAATGCTGCCACCTCGTGGGTGACCTCTGCTGCATGGAACAGACGTTAGTTTGGAGCTGAGGACTAATCACTTCCCTCTGGGGCTTCCTGGCTTCCAAGAAGATGCGACTTAGGAATGGAGACCTTGTTCAGCCCGTGTTGGTCTTAACTGGAGAGGGGCATCTAGGAGTGGACTCACTGGACATGATTTTCATGTTCTAGGGAGACACAACCTATTTGCTCTGATGGCCGCTGGGACCCTGCCCTTACCCGGTCCTGCTGCGTTGAGCAGTTTGGAGCGATTACTCCAAGTCTAGAGGAAGAGTCTGCCGTCCATTGCAACAGGCTTTCTGGACTCTCCCGGCAGTGAGTGAGATGGATCTACTCCAGCCTTGGTTCCCCCGGAGTACGTGTAGACACTTGGATAGAGTGGTGCTTA